CTACTTCTTTTTTGTATGTTTGTCACTCTCTTGGGAACTGCTATTTCCGTTCGGACTTCTCTGTTGACAGTCACCCCTTGGCACTCCTATGACCCTAAGCCGTAAAAACCTTACTTAAAAAACAAAACAAAAAAAAACAACACAAAACATACTAAAACTAATACTAAACAAAGGTTGTATTATAACATTAGGTGTCCCGGGCTGGGTTTGGAAAAAAATGGCAAGACTGATGATCGAAATAGTCCTAATTGTGTTAACGAGGGCTTAAATAAAACTCCTACATTTGTGTTTAAAAAACCACCCCCCATTAAAATTGTTTGTCTATGTCAGGAATGGCGTGCGCAAGTACCCCCCTCACCAGGTAGAGGTGGAGGCCATACAGCACCAGACCACACAGATCCTGCACAAGGTCTACTTCCCCGACGACTCGGACCAGGTGAGTACACCACACCTCTCTTTTAGCGGGTGGTTGGAGGGCGTCTCTGCTACGTCCTGCTTTTCTTTGCTTTCCTTCCATCTTACTGGGGGGTTTTTCTCACCATGGAATAACTTGCTGTTGTGTTGATGTGTGTCTCTTTAGTACAAACAATGATCCTGTGAATTTTTCTTTTTCTTTGTGGTCATGATCGTGTGTTTGTGTTGGTGTTGGGGGACACAGGTGGTGGTCTTCCAAGAGTCCTATATTTGGTTAATTTTTCAAAGATCATTCAAGGACTCTCGTGGCCTAGAGGTTAACTCTTTAACCATGTGTGGACGGTGGCAGTGTCCGGTAGTCGAGGTCTGTAACCATGGCTGGACGGTACCACCGTCCGATGCGAAGTTGTTATTGTATTATGGTTCGGGCCGAATATAAAACAGTACCGGTATGAGCTGACAAGCCTTTAGTTTGATCCAGAAGTCAAAGATATATGAATTCTACGTCTGGGTAATGCTTATCGATCAATTTGATTTGAAAAAAGCGGTTTTAAAAATGTAATATTCTGTAGGGTCGCATTTCCACAAACACGAGAGAATTACACGGAAACGTGATTTTAAATTGCATGGTTCAAGAGTTAAGGTGTTCGCCTCTCATTCAAAAGTCCCGGGTTCAAATCTGGGTAGCAACGGAATAATTTTCTTCTCTAAAAATATTTTCTTTTCCTTCTCTCTAACAATGTTCTGTCGTCTGCTTTCGTCTCCACTTTCTGCCCCCACCCCCTCACCTCCTTTGCACTCTCTTCTGGGCTCCTGACTCTTTCTACAGCCTGTCCACTGCTTCTCTTTCGCTCCTTCGTACTGCTGTCTTTCAGCCACACCCCTGATCTTCTGGTAGGAAAGATCTACCCCTAGCCTTCTCGGACAAGGGCTAAAAATTTCGGAGGTCCTATGTGCAAGTTGTACTCATTAAAGATCCCTTGGTTATCCAAAATCAATAAGAGTAGGCTTCAGCCGCCACCCGGGCAAAATTCCAATTTTCCTACCAACTGAAAATATTAGGTGTGTCCTGCGCGCTCATATGACCTTATGCAGGTACGAGTACTGTAAAACACTTACCAAAAGAAAAAAAAATCATTTCAGCTCAAGTTTCTTGTCAAGGTTTCATACACGTTTATTCATTGAATTTTTACTCTTTATTAAAATGATATATTTGACCCTATTTCTCAACGTAATATAGTACAACGAAACCCCACGGTGCCCCAGATTTTTAAAGAAAGTGTTTCGGTTGTCTCATGAATTGTGCCCGACACGGCACCATGCATGTGTGGCATATATACGTGACACATGTCACGCTGATATGTTCCAGGGTTTTGAGGTGGAGTCGAGCACACGAGCCAAAGATTTCTGCCAGAACATCGCCAACTCGCTGGGCCTGAAGTCGGCCGAAGGATTCAGCCTGTTTGTCAAGATTGTGGACAAAGGTGAGCAGCTGCACAAGTTACCCTGGCAGTCAAAGCTATTTCTTGTTGTGTGATGGAAAGCAATAAATTAATTAATTAATTAATTTGGAAAACTAACAAATAAATAAATAAATAAGTAAATAGATAAATAAGTAAAAGAATTTTGAAAAATGATAAATCATTAAATGAATATGAGTAAATTAATAAATTCTTAAATAAATAAATGTAAAATGATTATATTATAAAAAATCTTGAAATGAATGAATAAATAAAAAAAATGAATGAATGAATGAATGAATGAATGAATGACATGCAGGGTTTCTTTCTCTCGATGGGTTTCTAAAATAAAATTTTTCTTTTTGAAATTTCAACATAATATTGTTTTATTTCTGACGGCTGTTTTAACATTTGCTTTTTTTATATGGACGTCAATTTCATTATGGATGGTTATGTTTGTGGGTGGTTGATGGGTGCTCTTCTGGTGTGGCTTGCTCCTTCTTTCTTATCAAACATCTATCGTCCTTATTCCCTCCTCCTTCTTTTCTTTGTATGATATGGTGCTTTCTTGTAACACCTCTAATCTCCAGCACTCATATGACCTTTTTGTGTTGCAAGTGCCATAAAACTCTTACTAAAACTAAGCTCCCAAACAGTCTGAAAGAAAAGTTGATGGGTGGTTGGTGGGTGCTCTGGTGTGGTTTACTCCTTCGTTCCTGTCAAACATCTATTGTCCTGATCTCTCCTCCTTCTTTTTTGTGTTTGTTACTCTCTTGTAATACCTCTAATCTTTGGCGCTCATATGACCGTATGCAGTTGCGAGCGCTGTAAAACCTGTGCTAAAACTAAACCAAACAGTCGGAAAGACATGTGACGTGTTTGTATTCTTGTCTGACAGTGATCAGCGTGCCAGAGGGAGACTTTTTCTTCGACTTTGTGCGTCATCTGACTGACTGGATCCGCAAGGCGAGATCTGTCCGAGAAAGTAGGTCGCTGGTTGTTGTTGTTGTGGTGGTTGTTGTTTTAGTGGTTGTTGTTGTTCTGCTGCTGCTGCTCCCTATCCTTTTTTTTCTTCTTATTTTCTTTAAAAAAAAAAAAATTTCCCCTCTTCTCCAGGTCCACCTCTATTTCTTTTTTTTTCTTTCTTTTTCTTTTTCTTTTTTCCCTTTTCTCCTCTTCCCTCTCCTCCTCCTGTCCATTTTTTTCCTTTTTCCTTCTTTTCGTTTTCTTTATTAAAGAAAAATTGTTTTTGTTTTTACGCGCCTCCTCCACCCCATTTTCCCCCCATGTTTTTTTTTCCCCTTTATTTTGTTGATATTTCTCTTCCTCCTCTTCATGTTTTGAAAGTGCAGTATATTCCCTTTGGATATTTGTTTTAAGCTTGTTAATTTTTTCCCCGTCTTCCTTTTCTCTATCTTGAGGCAGATGGTGGGAGGCGACCTCTCCTGTTGTTTAAGTTGTGTATTTTCCCTGACGCAGGTTGGAAACTTTTGTCTTGTAAGACAACAACAAACGTGCAAATACCTGCATTCTGCTGCATGCTCATATCAAAGACCGTAGCTGCCAGCCAGTTCGAGCCTCAGCTCGGTCCGACCATTTGTCCTTGGGAAAGACACTTTACACCAATTTCCTATTTGGCTCAGTCCTTTCGGAGATGGATGTTAAACTCGGAGGTCCCGCCTCTTAAATAACCTAACAGTGTTGATAGGGGTATGAGACCTATACCATTTCGCCATTTCACCATGTCCAGTAAGCACGTTAGAAAATGTTAATTGAATATGTTTTTGAGTGTCTGAATAGGGCATCACTTTTTTTTTTTAATCGGGAAAATACATTTGTGAGGCATTGAGGTGGAAATAGGCGCTCGTCAAAAAAAGGAAATAAAAGAAACCAGAATAGTTCTAGCCATTTGGCAGTTAACATTTTTTTTTCTAGTATTACTCTTCATTGACTGGATTTGCGAATAATAACTATAATGCATCCATTACCATATTTAGCTATTGAGCATGAATTTATTGAATGCACAAAAATGAGAGCGGGCTACTTACTTAGCCAATGTCACTATGACCACCACCACCACAACCACCACCACTACCACCACCACCACCACTTCTACCACCACCGCCACTACCACCACCACTCCTACCCTATCTTTGCTTCTACTTTGTTTTAACACCACCCTCACCCCCCCACCCCCACCACTTTCCCAGCCCAAATCACCAACAACCCTAAGTGAAAAAATACGTGCTTGAATAATTACCCGAGTGCTCGGATGTTTGAAATTCGAGCGTGTACTGTTCGAATATTTAAAACTACTCGCGTGAGTACCTGCGCGGGGCTAAGTTACTCGATTACTCGAGTAGACCCGAGTTCTGGTACAGCCCTTAACAGCGGTCTCTAATGAACCCTCAGCTTCAAAGAGGACGCCGGAGCCCGAAGAGACGCGACCCGTAAATGTCCACAATGTCAAGATGTCTGAAGGCGAGGACAGGGGACTGCTGTTTGGCATCAATGGCTGGAGGCA